GGAGCCGCTGGCAAGTCAGCAGTCGTGTCTGCTGCAGAGGCCGATGATTACAGGCTGCTGCAGCTTCAAACAAATAGCATGCGGTGTTCACATCATTAATATTCCATTCTGTGTGAATCATTTTATTTATCTTTTGTGTTCATGTTCACAAACATTCTTTTACTTTCTCTCTATTTTTTTTTTTCAGACTGAAGATTACGCGCTGCTCAGAGTAGACAGCCGAATGAAAAATAGCCAAATGTCTCTGGTGAGTTCCTCGCTGGGGGCAGTGGAGTGGAAGAACAGTTTGATTTTGATTTGGTTCAAATTAGTTTGTACAGTAATGAGTACTGTAAGGCTGGGTAAAGATTCAGGTAATTTAAATTTAGGACAGATTTTTGATAGCGGTGAAAAGAAAAACAGATGATGCTCACTGAGCAATTACATCATTTAAATCTAAAATATGAAGACTTGAATTCACTCAGTGTCTTTTTTTTTAAAGAAAATAACTGAAAAGAATTTTCAGTTTAATTTTTGAATCAGGAAAATATGCAGTTCATGTACTTGACAATGTCATTCAATTAACCTTGGCTCTTTTTGTTAATAGTTTCCCTGAAAATGTTACCAGTTGATTATATGTGTAATAGATTTATGTATCATACGTAGGGGGAGGTGCACAAGCTTGATATTTTTTAGGCTCCCAAAGGGTTTAATGGCATAAAAAGTTTGGGAAACCAGCAGATTAGTTAATTAACAAGAAATGAATTGACAAAAAATTGCTGACTCTAGCTTCTGGAATATGAAGATATGGTATTTTCTCACATTTATAGGATTAAAAATAAAAACACAATTTAAGTGATTTAGTAGTCTGGATTTCAGTTGTAAAATAAATAAAAATCCAACAGTAAATAAAAGCCAGAATTTTAGGTTAGGGACTTTTAAAGATTTCGGGTAAATGCTGAATAATCCCACTTTAAATGAAAATGCAACGAGTCCCATCAGTCAGCAGCTGTCTGTTTCTACCAGCTTTCTTTCCTCCATTATAACGCAAATTAATACAAGAAGAAAAAAGGATTACAGTTGACTAAATTACATAGTAATTACTTAGAAGAAAACAAACAGTTGTTATCAGTGTTGTGACTGTTTTGGTCTCCTCCCGCTCCTGCAGGAACGACCCATCTACAAAGGCAGCCAGTCCACTCTGGGCGGGAAGTGGGGGTCTTCGGGTGGGGTGGAGGTGGACGAACTGGGACGTCCCGTAGTCTGGCACGACGGCAGGGAGAGCCTGAGAGGAGCGGAGATGGATGTAGAGAAGGAGGAGCGCAGGAGGAGGGTGGAGTCTTACCTGAAGAGCAGCAACATGTCACTGGTATGTGTCAGCATCAGAGAGATTAGGTTTGAAATGCATTTAGTTTCGCTTGTACGTGTCATATGGTATCGTGTTTTATTTATTGTCATTGTCACTGTCAGACATTGTCATGGAGACACAACACACATGAAGGCTAAAGACATCCTCTTTATTCTATCAGCCATAATAAAAATAAAATAAAAAAACGTGTCTGGATAGATCTGTCCTTTTCCAAATCACATATTTGTTCATTAGTGTACAAATAGGAGATACCATCATTCAACAATGCCACATTTTACAGGAAATTTTACAGGTAAAGGGTTGTGTTCAACACTGCCAAATGTAGAAAAGTTTATATTTCCTTTTACGTTTTTTTAAGTAGATCTAGTGGTGTATTATTGACCAAACTGTTGCTAAACAATGGTTGTTAATGCTACTGCTATAGCAGAGAGTAGATCACTCGGTATGTCCTTTTTGAGTAATTCTACCACCTTAAATAGGGTGGTATATGTTGTATACACACTGCATGGTGTGTTGATTGCTGTTTGGAACAGTAAAAATTGTGTTTTTATATCTGTTTTCTTCAGTTTTTAGCCTGGGTGTGTTGATTTTCGCTTCCACCATAAAGAAGCACACATACGGTATCTGTTGCCGTACAAAGTTTGGAGATGTGTTGTACAACCAAAATATGTTCCAGTCCAAATAATCATTTCAGAATCACAGCCCTATTTAGTCTGTGGAAATGATTAGAGGTGTAACATAATTACTTTTATCTCCATTTAGCACTCTATTGGATCTTTTTTTTTTATCAGAAAAGTAGTAATGTGATATTAATCTCCGTCTACCAGGACTCAGGACTGCCCTCTTCCCTGATTCCTTTGAAGGTCCAGCCAGACGAGTGCGTCGGGCCCAGAGACCAAGACTACCACATGGAGAGAGACTCCCCACAGTCGGTAGCGGAGGAACACGAGGATGACGAAGTCGACGGCTCCTACCAGATTTCAGAAGCGCTCACCAATCACTTCTACTACAGTAATGGCGTCCTCAGGCCCAGGCCACACTCCAACGCCATTCTGCTGCACCCCAGAGGACAGATCATCTAGCCCACAGACTCCCATTCACAACGTGAGAAGAAAGAAAGCCTGTAATGCATTCCTGCATTGAAAATGACTTCATTTATATAATGGGATGTTTGTTTTGTACACACTGACTGCAGTGGGTAATTAGCCCCGAGAATGATCCAAACTTTGATTCTTCTTCTTTTTTTTTTGCTTCTGGCTTGTGAGATTTTGAGCTTTTATCCTAACCCTATAATAATTGGAATGTGTTTAAATTATTTTTGGGTTTTTTTTTTTTTATGCCTTAATTGGGTAGCTGATGATGGAGAGATGACAGGAAATGAGGTGGGGGAGAAAGATGGTGAATGTCATACAATAAAGGTCCCCAGACAGACACAAACCGGTGACATTGCGGTTCAATTTATTTTATCCTAATCCTAATTTTTAGGATTTTTTTTTTTTTTTTTCCACAAACCACAATCTCCTTCAAAGTGCATGTAACAAAGGTTCCTGTTACACAATGTTTACTACCTGCAGTGCTAAAAGTTTATATCCTCTGCTTTGGTGACTTAACAGCTGGGCAAACTATTTTAAATTCAAAGATTTGAATTGGGAGATTCCCAATAAATGATGCCAATTTACAGTTCTTTGTTTACATCATAAACATGCAGGGAAGGAAGATGTGGACGAGGACAACATCTAAGCTCTGATGCTTGACAAAGTGAAGAGTAAACTGCACTCAAAACTCTGATATTTTCACCCTGGATACACCTGTGGATAAGATGTTAGTATGTGTATTTGTGTATGTATATGTATATATATATATATATGTAAGGAGCTCTTTTATGTTTGTGATCATGTAATTAACAGCCAACTGCAGTTACAAAGGTCAAAAAAGGCTGTAACCCTGAGAACCTGAACACAGACATGGACAAAGTCTTCAAACTGGATGGATAAACGCAACAAACTGGTTTCCATGACCCAGTTTTATCGACATCAATGTGACAAAACTGGATGAAACGTGCAGCAGAGGAACTGTAAAGCAACTGTGTATATGTTTTTTTTTTTGTGTGTAAATTGTTTTATATCCATTGTGTTTTTCTATGAAACTGAAAAAGTGGACATGTAAATGTTAAAAAGTTTATTCATAAAAGTACAGCATAAAAACAAAAGTCATTGTTCTTTATTATAACCTGGGACAATTACGCTTGTCTCGGCTCACGCAGGAGGTTTTAAAGGGCATCGTTAATCACAGCCGCTGCAGTAATGTAGCATTCGTATTAGACTGTAGTGATTTCCTGGTTCATCCCTTGTGACGTTTACATCCTTGTAAGCTCGATAACGACGGTTAAGACAGGTAGAAAAAAAAAAGTGCATTTTCACAGGTTGGCTGGGCTCACTGTTACAGGGCGATGAGTTCAGTAATCTCAGAGAACTTCTGTATTTAAAGGTCCAGTCTGTAACATTTAAGAGGATCTACTGGCAGAAAAGGCCCTTGGAGTTTGTTTCTACAGTAGCCCAGTATGGACAAACTGGTTTTGCAGCCACCATAGTTTTTCCTACACACTTCGCAATCTTTTCACATTTCCAGGTTGTGAAATACAGACGCGAGCAGTGTTCAGTTAGTTGTGAACTGCAACTTCAACCCTAGATCCGACTAAATCCTACACACTGGTCCTTTTGACGGATTAGTAAAACATTTTGTGAAATACGCTTATTCACTTAGTTGCTGAGAGTTAGATGAGAGGATTGATACCACTCTCATGTCTGACAGTCAGCAGCTGGTTAGCTTAGCAATGAATTGAACTGACTTCTCCTACGGGGGATTAATAAAGGTATATCTTATCTTATTTTAACTCGAGACTGAAAGAAGGGGAAAACAGCTACCCCGGGACTGTGCAAAAGTAAAACACCTGCCTACTAGCACCTCTGAAGCGTATTAATTAATATGTTAAATGTTTGTTTACAAAAACCAAGTCAAAACCAAACCACAAAAAGCTTTAGAAGCGGGTTATATGCTGGAATTATTTTATCAATGTCAGTATCAAACAAACGAGATATACGGTTGTGTTAATTGGTGGGAATTAGAAAAGATTCTGATTTTGTAACCTTTGAAGAGAGCTAAGCTAAGCTGTAGCTTTGAATGAACTACACAGATCCGAGTGGTATCGATCTACTTTCTCCAAGAAAGTGCATAAGCATATTTCCAAAAATGTCTATGCATACAGAGCGGGTGGAAGTGAACCAGGCGTGGCTGACTGGAGGACACCAAGGACTACCTATAAGATGTAGAGTAAGTTACTGCTGGATATGAATGTTCGTACTATGAAGGATCCTATCTGACGTTACTGAGCTGTAAACATATAAATGGAAGCTATAATGGAATGAGTTTGAATTCTTAAAATGTTAAAATAAGGAGCTTTCTTTGCTTAAAAGCCTTAAAAAATCTGACTTTCCTTTACAAAAAGAAAGATAGTGCCAATTATCTTTAATGAATTGTGCCTCAAATTCCCTGTTTTCGGCTTACAAAGACGACGCAGGTCATCGAGTAATAACCGCTGTGACTTAACTTAGTGTGAGTTCAGTCTCATCCTCTAAGTGCTGTGGTTGTCTTTCCATCAGGTCAAGGAAAATCTGTTTTGAAATCATTCTTCAAGCTTATTCAGATGCAGATCTGGGCTGCTCCACTAGCTCGATTCCCACTGTGAACCTGATAATGAACAGTGGATGGGATAAAAGGTAATGCTGAGGGATATTAGATCTATAATAATACAAACAGGTCGTTGTTGTCCAAACCTTTCTGATTCACAACGACTATCATCAAATCAACATTTAGAAGTGTTTTCTATAAATCTTTTAACCGCCAGGTTTTACAAACAGTACATTGTACCAAAATTAGTTCTTACAATCAAAGCTATGTCAAAGTTATAATATCCAAAAAGGAAACAGAAGTGCACAGTAAATCAGTCGGCTACATTACTTTTCAGTAATATCAAAATACAAAGAGAATTTGTGAAATCGTCTAGACATAAATGCCACAGAGATACTTTCTTCAAACTCTACAGAATCAAACTGCATTTTGGGATAGAGCCTCTTTGTGAGTCCGCTGGTGAGTGCGAAGGTTACTCCTCTGAGAGAAACACTTGCCGCACGTGTCGCACGTGTACGGTTTCTCCCCCGTGTGAATCCGCTGGTGAATCTCCAGGTGGCTGACGCGATCGAAGCTCTTGCCGCAGAACGGGCAGATGAACCACTTCTCCTTGATGCGACGGCTCGCTATGGTTTTGTGCAACTCGGGGTCGTTCAGGAGGAAGAATCTGCTGTCCGCGTTGAAGGCCGACGTGGTTTTAGTCTGCGGTTGCTTCTCCGAGAGGAACCTGATGGACACTCCTCTCTCCGGGTGATTTATTGCTTCTATAGGCTGACTTGGTTGAGCTTGGCTAAAAGGCACGGGAGCCCTTGATTTACTCGACGCACCTTGTCCATTGTCCCTCGCGAACCTGTCCGAGTACGCCGTCTCCGCTGAATGATCAAAAATGTCCAAAGCGTTCTGAATGAGCAGGATCTCCGAGTCCAGATTTTGCGACAGCTGCTTTGGTTCGAAGAAGCAGTCCGTTTCGTCGGCGGTGTCGCTGTCTCCCACCGACACCGACGACCACTGCTGGCTCTCTTGTTCTTCCATGAGCTCAGCAGGTTGGAGGCTCAGCTCCATCTCGTGGTGAGCCGCGCCGTCGTTGACGCTCTGATCAGAGTCCACGATCTGCTCCACAATCTGGACGTCGTCCTCGTCCTCCAGCTTGACTATTAGGTCGTCCTCGTCGTCGTCTCTGCCGTCGCTTTCGCAGTGGTCAGATTTGAGCTGCTCGCACGGTTTCTCCTCCGTCTGCGGAGGCGGCGGGGTTCGTCGATTGGCCGAGGTGTCCGCCTTCTCTCTGACGCTCTGATCAGAAGACAACGTCTGGACTGAATCTATTATCGGCCCTGAAATGACAGAGCAGGCGTTTTTATTTAACTTCTATTCAACCGAACAGTTTTCATTGTATAATAACTTCTTAAAGACGGTTTTATTACTGTGATTTATAAAGGATGGCACACAAAGAAGAGCCAATTGGTAGTATGTATTAGGGCTGTGTATTTATACGATATATATCACAATACAGGGGTTACAATTAAATATATTGTGATACTGTAAACATGGCAATATATGATTGTTTTTATTTAAACATAATTTTAGGAAAAGTTTTTTAAGTATAAAGAACACACCATATGCATAAAATCTGAGTAAAATAAAGTTTACCTTTTTCATGCAACCAGAATAATATCACAAAACCAAATATTGTGAAATATTATTTTTGATATTTTCTTATACCTCTAGTCCAAACACATTGTAGAAGCAGAGTAGAGTTACAGAAATTTGAGTTTCTTTCTGAAACGAGGCCACAATTTGGATCGTTTCTTCCTCTCCACCATGACTCCTTCTTGCTGCAAGTTTCCGGCAGCATATTCACGAGTTTGATGTCATTGATTGAATGTGCATTGATAAAGGAATTGATAAGCTTGGTGGCATATGATTTTGAGGATGGGGCAATTCGGAATCGGTTCTTGTTTCCCATTCCTAGTACAGCTTGTGTCTTCATTTGTGTGTAAATTCAGTTGAATGTACACACTGGAAGAATAGCCTGTGAATGCAGTGTTCACAGTTGACTCTAAACAGTTTGCTTTTGGAGCTCTGACCTCCGTCAATTATTTAACCCAGTGGGACCCCCACTAGGGGTTGGCAAAGCTTCACAAGGGGTTGCAAGGCCTTCTTGATTTTAAAGTCACGTAGTCAGGGGTCATCATACACAAAAGGTGTCCCTTAAGGAAAAAGGTTGGGAACCACTGCTTTTTAAAAATTATTTAATTTTTTATATTTAAATATATCACATAGACAAACACAACTCAAATATAGGACAGTCTGGTCTATCACCCCCAAAACCCCCCGCCCCCCAAGAACTAGACCATTAGTAAATGTTTATACACCCAAACATCCAAACAAAAATACAGCTATATAAATGCATTCATACAAATAAGTTGACGTACACATAGAAAAGAAGTATACAGAAATAATAACAAATAAATTAAGAGTGAAAAAGGTTTTCTGGTGGCCTCTTTGAGGGTATATCTGATTTTTTTTCTAGGTGCACACATGATCTCTCTAATCCACTGTCCATACGCTGGAGGGGGAGAATCCCTCCATTTGAATAAAATTCTTCTGGGCAACATAGAGCAAAAGGCCATCAGATTCATATTGCACACAATAAAAGGAGCGTTTATTGGGGTTACGGGAACCACTGCTCGTTTACTATTCATAAGCCATATATATAAACGTAATAGTTACTTTATAACACACTACAATCTACTTTAAAGGTCTAGTGTGTAGCATTTAGGAGGATCTATTGTCAGAAATGAAATATAATATTTATGGGCATGTTTTTATTGGTGTATAATCACCTGAATATAAGAATAGTGCGTTTGGAGCCACTGTGGTTTTCTTCCTCATGCTTGGAAAGGTAGGATGAAAGCAGTAGCTAGATGCCACTAAATCACGCACACTGGAGCTTTTTAAGGGTTAATCATTTTCACTACAATGTGATTACATTGTAATGTGAATACATACAATAATCTTGGCAATAAACAGTAAGTGATACAACCATGATAATAAAGTAAATATTCCTCTGCAAAACTTTCCTCCCACTCTGCATTTTTCTTTCTCTTATTAGTCTCAGTTTTCTCTTGTCCTTTCTCTTCCTTTGCCCCCCTGTCTTCTTCACCTTGTCTTAATCTTATGTATTCTTCCCTCGCTTCCTCCTACTACTCAACATCTCTCTTTCACCTCCCATTCTCCTCCTGCTCGTTTTTCTCATGCTATCCCTTCACCTCATCCACCTTCTCTTCTTCCTCTCTCCCTTCCCTCCACATCTTCTTTCTCGTCCTCTTCATGTCCCTCCTGACAGACAGGTGCTGGTCTGACTGTCTCCCTCGCCTCCAAAACAACTGTTACGACCCGGCTCGGAAGGGGAAAGGGAAGCAACATAAACCAGTTGGTTTTGGTAGTATAAAGTTATTTATTAACACAGAGAGTTTAACAAAAGAAATAAT